GTCTAGTTTCATTCTCCTGCATATTGATATCCAGTTCTCCCAGCACCATTTGCTAAAGAGGCAGTCTTTTCCCCAGTGTATAGACTTGGTGCCTTTGTCAAAGATCAGATGGCTGTGGGTGTGTGGGTTGATTTCTGGGTGCTCTATTCTATTCCATTGATCAGTGTGTCTGTTTTTATGCCAGTACCATACTGTTTTGGTTATTATAGCTTTGTAGTATAGTTTAAAGTCAGTTACCTGTTAATTTTATGAAGAACTAATGCGTTCAGTATTTATTTGGACAAATTGAGGTTGATCGTGTTTAACAACGATGTAGACTGATAGTAATGACACTGTAATAACACAACCAGAGAGGAGCCAGCACCTTGGCAGTGGAGACCTACAAGTTTTAGACAGAGATTTTTAAAACTTGCCACATAGTGACATGTTGAATGAACTCACAGAGTCTTCTAACTTTTATCTTTTAGGCTTACGTGCAGAAGTACATTGTGAAGAATTATTTCTACTATTGCCTATTCAAATTTTCAGCTGCCTTGGGTCAAGAAGTGTTCTACATCACATTTCTTCCATTCACTCACTGGAATATTGATCCTTATTTATCCAGAAGACTGGTCATCATATGGGTTGTGAGTATTATTATTACTTATGAACAACCGCTACTTCTAAGACAAATACCTGCTTTGGCATTTGAGTTCTTTGTGCATGTGTCCTTTTTTTTTTTTTTTTCTGCCACTTAGGGTTGAACTTGTTGCCTAATGTATTTCGGAAAAATTAAAAAGCTATGAATGTAACTTGTTTTGGGTGAATAAAAACTAGAAGAGGGGAGAAGTGACGAGCAGAGGAAAAAGGACCTTTCTAAGAAAACATGTAGAGTATAAAATGCATTCTCCCAAGGGACCCATGGAAAATTTGATCAAAAAACCAGACCTAGAAGCTGTTGACTAATAATTTCCAGCAGTATTAAGCGACTACTCTATATACATTGGAGACACCAAAACATGTAAGACAAGGCTCCTTCCTTGAGGGAACTTCTAGTGCAGTGGGGGCCACAAATACACAGAAACCCAGGGAGGATTCCAGGTAGACAGGTGGAGCCCCGTTCTGCTGTTTTGCTCAGGACCCTATGACTTAACTTTGTTCAGGGCCAAAATGAGGCCTGAGTTTTTGCTTAATTGGGGGAGATGGTGGTATTTGCAAGGCAGCGAGGCATGCTGGGAATATACAGGCCTTGGTGTCAGACAGGCCTGGGTCAAAGTTCAGCTCAGCCACACCTGTGCACCCTGTTCTGAGCCTTACTTCACTCACTTGTCAAATGGAGTAAATAATGTGCATCCCCAGAGTCATCAAGGCGGTGTCCTGAGTGGGCACAGAGTTTGGGGCCTGGCACGGGGGAGGACTCCACAAGTCATTATTTGAGTATGATGCATAGTGACTAGTCTGTGAGGGTGAAGGAGTCTTAAACATCAGCCAGTTCTGAGGTCAAAGATTGTTTAGCTCAGAGCCAAGATTGTTTCCCTAACTCAAGATTCTCTGCTAAAAACAAGAGGTTCAGAAGCATGTGGTTGGATATAAAGGAGAAGCTGTGTGATCTTTAGCAGGCAACTTCCCCACTCTTGGCTTTATTTTTCTCATTCACGGAACAAGTTAGAGTGGACTTGATCGGGGCCATAAATGCAAATGTCCTCATGGCAGGGGAGAGAAGTAACAGCAAAGTCCTGAGTGGGGAGGGACGTCCATGCAAATCTTTCACCATGTCGCCACCTGGGGGCGCTAGGGATCACTTGCCCCCCTGGTCCACCTGTGACTTCTCTGAAAAAAAATGGGCCGAGTTGTGAGATCTTCCCATTTTTCACATGAGATCTCCCAGTTTTTAATTGTAAGCTTACATTTTAAAAACATTACATGCCAACTGAACAAAGAAACCTCGAAGTCTAAACGTATGAGCTGTGATTTGAAGCTTCTGGTGTACAGGACCACTAAAGCTTATAGTTATGATTATTTGACCCAAATTCTTCCTGGGTCTTTCATCCTTATCTTTCTAAAACTACAAGCCACTTTTTCTTTCCTCATCCTTGTGTCCTGCTTGGCCCTCTTCCAAAATCTAGCTTCTGTCTGAAAGTATGATCTGAGAGGTTGCAAAAGCATATACATCTTGCAAAAATCATGAAGGAAATGTCAATCCAACTGTCCCTTTCCTGAGCTGAAGCCTGCTTCTGTGTCTGCAAAGCAGCCATGTCTGCTGGAACAGGCAGGATGGAGGCAGGAGAGAGAGGGAGCAGGGAGCATCCCCTCGGTTCTTAAGATCTGAAAACACACCAAACACCCAGGGTGCTTGAGTTTCCTGCTGTCATTTGTTTTCTGAGATTTAAAAAAAAAAAAAAAATCCCGAAACTTTTATGGTGCTTGGGTGAGACAAAAGTACTTTTAATAATTCAGGAGTATCTTATAATACGTATATTGTCATCTCAAAGCTGATTATCTCCTCCACTGAGAGTGGAAAACTTTTGCCCAGAGGCTGGGAAGACCTTTAGACTTGATAGGAGGCTGTGGTGAGGGGATGCTCTGATGGTCATTATTGGTTATCACTTTATGCTCTTCCTCATTTCAAAGTGCCCAAAGTGTCTGTTTGAGGCAGAATGACAAGTCTTTCGTCAGACAGTGAGCAAATAAAATCTTTGCCTGAGAAGGAAAGAGCAACCTTTGAGTCTGTGGTCTGTCCTGAGGTTTGGTGACCTCTTACTTGATTTTTCTAAATGGTGCATAGCCCGGTCCACAAGGCACCCCTGCAGAGAGTCCCCTGGTTACTCTGGGTGTTCAGCTATATCTGTAAGGGCAGCATGGACAGGGTCAGGTAGAGTGCACATTCCTGCCAGTTCCTGGTGAAAAGAATAGAGGCCATTCCAAGGGGAAAGAGGGGGAGAGGGAGGGGTGTAGGCACACGCATGTGTGTGTTTATGTGTGTACGCATGCATGTGTATGTGTGTGTATATGTATGTGTGTGTTGGGAAACGGGGTGCTCTCTGCTTGGTTGCAGAGGCAATAATGGAGGTTCTGGTGTTGAAGGTGGGTGAAGGGAAGGGAAATTCCTGGTGGCGTTGGAGGGGAAGGTTGCGGGGAGCCGGGTAAGGTTCTTGTGTTCAGGCCAGCCAAAGCAATCAGCTTCTTGCTGAGGCTGCCTTTTTCATGGAAGGGATATCCCTAAATTAGTAGCTGTCTCTTCAAGGAGCAGGGGTTAAGAAATGTTAATTACATAAGGGGCAGAGCTTGTAACTTGTAACTTTAAATATTTTATCTCACCCAAAATTCGTTGGAAGTCAGCTGCATTCAGGCGTGCCAAACCTCTTGTCAAATATTATATTAATCGGAGACTTGTCATTGGATGAAGATCCAACAGGTTTTATTGCTTTTAAAAATAATTTGTTATATTAGGGGGTGACTCATGCTGTCTGAAGTAGCTTAGCAGAATTTATGGAAGTATTAACTGCTCTCTCTTCACAATCATAATATTTTCTCCCCTCTACCATACAGTTTTTATTGCTTTTATTGGCATCTATGTTCATCATCTTATTTGAGCTTCATAACAATGGGTTAGTATCATTTTATAGATCGGGATAGTAATACTTAAAATAATAATAAGCCATATCATATGTGGAGCAGTTAGTATACATGCCTTTCACTGTAATAGAGCTTGACATATTTTACCTTATCTAATCCTGCCATCCATCCATCTCTGGCTAGTCCATAGATTGACCGTACTTGGTTCAAACAGCTGTGTTAGGGATGGGGATAGACAATTAATAGGTGCCACAGATCCATGGCCAGGTTCTGGAACATCAGAGACCTGGACTATAATGCTAGCCGTGAAACCTTGTTCAAGGCACTTCATGGTTCTGGCCTGCAGTTTCCCTAGCTTTAAGATGAAAGGACCAGCTAGAGGATCCTTGGAGGCTTGTAACATGGTCATGAGTCTTCGTTATATGTTTGCTCTGTGACACTTAAAAGAGGTCTGTCTGCGGTGTGAAAGAAGAAGGAAAAAACCAAAGTTGGGTGGGATAACAGCAAAAGAATAGAAGGTATTTAATGTCTTTTGCAGACCAAATGCTAATGTGGCTTTATTTATTTTGTCTTGTGTTTTTAATCCCTTCACTATGAGACAGTACATTTGAAATGCACATCAAATCCATTGCTAAATGATTATTAGATTGCCTTGTTGTTTTGTATTCAACATAATTTAAAAGAAAACATTTAAAAGAGAAGGCTTAATTGCTCGGCAAATATCAATTTTATTTTTTTGTAGACTCAAAGTCTTGGTGATAAGGAAGCCGTAAAAGCAGAAGTTTAAAATGATGGTTTTCCACATCTCTCACATTCTGATTATTAGCAACAAGCTTGCTGATAATTATACTTAAAAAGCAGACCAGAAATTTACATTTAAATTGTGCCTACTGTCCAGATGGCGACTATCTGCTGTAGTGTTTAGGGTATTATTTTATAAAACAGTCACATAAATTGGTTAAGAGGTGAACTTTGTGATAACATGTTAAAATGGAGTAGTGTCTTTTTGGATGTAGACAGGCTGCCATCTGGCTGTCTCACAGGAGAGTCTGTCACCTGGGTAGGGAGGAGAGGAAAACAGCCTGCCCACATCCCTGTAATTCACAACCCCTCGACTGGGGTCAATTTTAGTGCCGAAAGATGACTTTAAATGTGATTATCTCTTAATCCTCTGTTTAAACCACTACGACCATTCACTTCAAAAGATCCCCCTGCTTGTTAAATTGGTTCTTGCTTGAGATTAATGAGTCTTTAAAAGTATTCAACAATGGCCCGATTGTGACCCTCACTAACTTGCATTGAGTGAACTAGAATTAGGCGTCAGAGATTCTGCCCAGTCCCTCTGAAGTAGAATCTGTAATTTAGCCTTAGTTAAGTATTAAGTAAATGTCTCTAGGGGGCTTGTTATGCAAACTGCACTGCTTTGGTTTTGAAACACAATAAGGAAAAGTTTGGGTTTTAGTGTTTTTGTGTGTGTTGTTTTTAAAGCCTCAAAACTGATCTCGTGTGGTGAACCAAAAAATTTGGATTTCTCTGAGTATCACCATTATTACCTGAAAAGTGGTTTTCTCTCTTTCTGTCTCTCTCTCTTATGATGATGACTGGAAAATGTGCCCACATTCTTTCCCTTACGATGGTCCCTACTTCACACCCCCCGAGACTGAGATGCTGTCAATTGAGCAAAACTGCAGTCCCCCCAGACAGACACCACTGCCCCCCACCCAAGCCTCACTTCTTTTTCTTATTTTTAAATTGACAGATAAAATTGTGTGTACTGTATTTATTGTGTACAAGTTGATGTTTTGAAGTATATATCCACTGTGGAATGGCTAAGTCCAGCTAATTAACAAATGTGTTATCTCACAGTTATAATTTTTGTGGTGAAAACATTTAACACCCACTCTCTGTGTTTTTCAAGAATACAATATGTCATCATTGATTGTAGTCATCATGTTGTACAGTAGATCTCCTGAACTTTTTCCTCCTGTCTAACTGTAATTATGTATCCTTTGACCAACATCTCCCAATACCCTTCCTTCCCTCACCCACCCCAACCTGGCAACCACCTGCT